TATTTCCTCTGAATTTATTGAAGATCCCTTATATAGAGTGTTGAATGAAAAAAGTCTTTACTATTCTATAAATGAGTTAATCAAAGTGGAAGGTTTTAAATGAGCGACTTAGAAAAAGGGGAATGTATGGACCATAACCCAGTTTGAGGAAAGATCACTTCACTCAGGATCCCTTAGTGATTCTGCAGCAAGGCTCAAGCTGTTGTGCACCGTGGTGATGGGTTATCTGGCCCAATGGAATGCTCTCCTTGCATTGTTTTCTTTTCTGTCAGTCCCTATATAGGCTTTTGTTTTGGACAAGATAAAAAAAAACCTGTCATTAGGTATCTACTTGAGTTAATGACTTCGTGTCTAACTCCCAAGAGTTAAAGAGCGCTCCTTACCAGAGGGACTTGAACGCACAACCCCATAATCCCCCTTCAGTGTTGTTCTAGAAGCATCAAGCATGCAGGGACCAGCTTTACCACACTGAGAAGTGTTTCCCCGCAGTTGGCAGAAATTCATCATGCAAATGTTTGTGTTGAGAAGCCAGATTCTTGCTCCACAGTCTTTCTGTCAGAGCCCTATTTCTCTCTTGTCTTTCCTGAGCTGTAGTCAGAAGGGTTGGTGCTCGCTTTGTAAAATAAATGATCTGCATATCTGTCTATTTGAAAGGCAGAGTTACACAGAGAGCTAGAACTGGAGTAAGAGTGAAAGAGTCTTTTATCTGTAGGTTCATTCCCCAAATGGCTGCAAAAGTCAAGGCTGCTCTGGAAGAAAGCCAGAAACTGGGAACTCCATCCAGGTCTCTTACATGGATGCAGGGGCCCAAGCACTTGGGACCGTCTTCTGCTGCTTTCCCAGAGGCATTAACAGGGAGCTGGATCACAAGTGACAGTCAGGACTCAAAGCAGCACTCACATGGGATGTCAGTATCACAGGCAGTGGTTAATGTGCTGTGCCACAGCAGGCAACCTCTTTTCCTTTCCTTACTTTTCAGGATTCATTTGTCTATCTGCAAGCCAGAGAGAGAGAGAGAGAGAAATAGGTGGAAAGAGGAGAATGGAGCTTTCTGCAGGTGGTGCTCAGTGTGGTCCTCCACAGCACTGATGAGCGAAGGAGTTATAGAAAATTTTATAGCAATTGAGTGTATCTGTTGAATGTAATAAAATTTGTGTTTGTGTTTAATAGCCTTTTTATTTTTCTGGAAATATACAGCTGGAAACAAAGTCTGGCCTTGTCCTACAGACAGCCCTAGTTTGGAGGCCCAGGCCCTGTCCAGATTGCCTCCTTGTTATTATGGAAGAGGAATAGTTATTCCTTACTCTAAGCCAAAGAGACTAGTTGTTTAATTTCAATATTTCTTTTCTTTTCCTTTCTTCCTCTTTTCTTTTCAAAACAAACTTAAACCTGTTTAGTGAAATACAAATGACTTGAAATTTACTCCTATGCCATCTTTTGTGTACAGTTCAGTGGTCTTAGGTGCGTTCATATTGTTGGGTAGCCAATCTTCAGATCTCTTCATCTTGCAAAACTATAAGCTGTACACCCCATTAAACAACTCCCTGTTGCCCCTTCTACTCATTGCCTGGCTACCACCATTTGTCTCTGTCTCTGTGAGCTTGACCATTGTAATTACCTCCTATAAGTGGTGTTTACTTTTTGTGACTGATTTGTTTTCACTAAGCATAGGGTTCTCAAGGTTCAGCTTTGGGAAAGCAGCTTTCAAAATTCTCCTTTTTAGGCTGATTATTATTCCACTTATGTTTATCCCCATTTTGCGTTTCCTTGTATCAATTAGAAAGAACTTATGTTCTTTTTATCCACTAAGCATTGTAATGCTACCATGAATTTGGATGTACAAATATCTCCTCAACATTGAGATTTCAGTTCTTTTGCAATATATACCCAGAAGTACAATTGGTGCATGATATGGTAATTCCATTTGATAATTTTTTGAAGATGGCAATACTGTTTTCCATCATAGCTGTGCCATTTTACATTCCCATCAAGTGTGTGAAATGTTTCTAGTTTCTCCACGTCCTGGCCACAAGTATTTTCTGGTCATTCTTATTGTAGCCATTCTAATGAGTGTAAGATGGCATCTTATTATGGTCTAGCTTTTCATTCGCATAGTGATGCTGAACCTTTTCTTGGACTCATTAAACTTTTCTATATCTTTGGAGAAATATCTTGATATATTTTATTCATTTTTAAATGGAGTTGTGTGGGTTTTTGTTGTAGGAGTTTTTAATATTAGAAGATATTAATCCTTATCCAGATTTATGATTTATAAATATTTTGTTTCATTCCATAGATTTTTTAACTCCGTGTTTTGTGTCCTTCCCTCCACGAAAGTTTTAAATTTGGGTGTAGTCCAGTTTATTTATTTTCTCATTTTGTCTTTGGCATCATACTCAAGGTATCGTGTTATGTCATAATGCTCTTCCCTGTGTTTCCTTCTATGAGATTTATGGTCTTCATATTGATATTGAGTCTTTGATTCATTTTGATTTTTGTATGTTACATAAAGGTTACATATATTACATAAGGATTACATATATTACATAATGGTTCTGCTCCTTTGCATGTGGATATGTACTTTGACCAACACTATGGATTAGTAGGATCCTAGCTTCTACACTTATGTATTCCTTACCTGGCCATCACAATGAAAGGAGAAATGGCAAACACACCCTGGACAAATTTGGACACTGGTTTGTGCCTTGATTTAGTAGTGTGGGGAAGGGGGGACTATGGCAAGTTGAATGTTAGCTCATGATTTGATATTATATACATATAACATGGCCACTTTGCTGCCAACATTGTGAATAATCCAGAAATGAAGATTAACATAAAGTATGGAATTTAAAAAAAAAGAATCCTTATCACCCAAGCCCAAATCCACCAAATTTAAATTCCTGATAAGGACAAGAAAATGTTGTGGCTACATGATTGTAATGTAAGCATTTACTTCATAAATTTATCAAGGTCAGTGACTAAAGGGTTGGGGGAAAGTATTTCCTTTGGAAAACTTGCGGTTTTTGCATTTTTCTTTTTTGTAATGGCTGCTAAGGAAATTAAGTGCCAAAATTTGTGCTTGGATACATACCTTTACATTCTTTAGTTCTTGACCTTCTACTCATTTGCTTTGCTTTGACCTTTACAAATCAACTTTATTAAAATACAGTTTCCATACAATGAAGTAGAATGTGTACTCATTTTAAATTCTGTCAAGCACACATATACCACCTCTGTGGTCATCCCTTCTAATCAGGAGTTTAGAACATTTTCATTCCATGAGGGAACATATCTAAAATGTCCCCTCAGGCCTCTCTGTAGTTCTCTTTCTACCGGACATTAAGTGCTTCTGTTAATTCAGTATTCCTTATTGTGCACCATTACCCTTATGGAACTAACTGCTTTTGGAAGTTGATGGAATGTGATATCCTCTTAAAGCTCTCAGTTTTCTTCCTGTGATCTGCCATCATTGTTTTGTTTTGATCTTAGAAAGTGATATTGTACTTTATTGGTACTTAAATCTCATTACAGCTAAAATTTAGCTGGCATCCTGTGAAACATCGTTATATATCTTTGGAGAACCTTTTTTCCTTGCTAGGTATCAAACACCTAATTCAAAGGATATTTTTAAACCAAACATACTTGTTCCTGTAAGGGTTTGTCTGTACCTAACTGGTCAGTGTCTTTGGCAGAAAATGAAGTATGTGACAAGCACCAGTAATTGCCTTGCTGTAGCGCATGAGAAAGCCCAGTGGTCCTGCTTCTAGTGATTCAGCAACTTGTGGCTCATGAAAATCCACAACTGCTTTTTGAAATGTCAGAGCTGTGACCTGTGTGTGGATGCCCCGACACTGCTTTGAGGTGACAGCAAGTTTAACCAGTTACATTGTATTTGGGGACAGCTTGGGCCCTGTATTGTTGTTTGAGAGAATGGGCGAAACCATGCATTGGGAATTCTCAAACATGACTCTAGTGAGAGAACATCAGCATAAATTGTGGGTCATTTCACCTTCTTCCCCAAGATAACAAAGAAATACAGATAATGTAAAGTTTCAGCCTTAGTTTCACTTGGCAAATAAAAGGAATTGTCATTATTTTTACAGCATTCTGGAGATACCCTCATACAATGAGTTGAAATGAAGATATAAGCCCCCAAATTTTTATATTTAAATATAAATGTAAGCTAAAAACATAATGTTTTAATATATCTTTATGATGTGATATAGCTGCTTTTAAAAGGAAATCAGCAGTAGTTTGACAAAAAAGGGCTTATTTTATTTTCCTTGGAATTTTTTCTTACGTGGGTGGTGTGGTGAGGAATGCCTTTGAACCAGGTGTGTGTGTCCAAGTCATAGAAAACCCTCCTGCAAAGGCTCCTGGCGTGCTCGGTGGCCTCTGGCAGTGACGTTGGTGTAACAATGTGATTGCCAGTAGCAGTGATGTCTTCCGCAGTGCTTGGGTTTCCATGCATTGTTCCGAGTTTGGAGGTGGAGGGGAGGTCATGTTTTTGTTTTTGTTTTGTTTTGTTTTCTGCCTCAAATTGCTATATATAGTAGCTATCATTTTGAACTAATTCTATGAGTAACCTGTTAACTCCAACACTCCTGTCTGTGCCATAATCCAGGAGCAACCCAGAGAATCATTTGTAAAGATCCTGCTGAGTCTTGCCTGGTGACCATAATTAGTCTTTGAAAATGAGGTAGAAGATGGTGAGTGTGTGTGTGTGAGTGAGGTTCCCCCAGATTTGGTGCATTTCCATTTTAAGATGAGAACTGCTGCAGAAGGAAAACCTTAAAAGAATATTTGACTATTTTTCTGAATATAATAATATACCCACTTTCCTTTTTCTTTGCCAGCAGTTTAAAGGTTTATATTTAAAAATCTAAATGTAATCGGTTTTTCAGGTTTTTTTTCTCCCACTCAGTGAAAGAAGCAAAGTCTAACATAACAAACATAGCAGACTAAAATTTTTCTTCTTCTTCTTTAACATTTTCTCTTAGGACTCAGCCCAAAACCATGTTTGCTCAAGTTGAATCTGATGACGAGGAAGCAAAGAATGAACCAGAATGGAAAAAACGTAAAATCTGAAGACTTTCAACAGGAACTGTTTGCAAATGAATAGGATGGATATGGAGCAAGATTTTTTCCTTAATGCTTGTGAAATAAAAAAAAAAATTTAAAAAAAACATTTTTATGGACGGATTTTTGTCCTGTATATTATTGAGTTATTTGAAAAGATTAGTAGCTGTTCCCCACTCAAGTTATGCTTACATTTTCTTGCCTACTGTTATTAAGCTGTATTACAAGTAAACAAGAAACAGATTCTAAGCCCATCACCAAGTATGAGTGTTCAGGGTATTTGGAGACTATTCAGTTAGTTACTGATCTTGCACAGAGTCTCATAACCTTGGAGGGCAACATGTACATAGAAATGTTCATCTGCATTGGGCTATTCTAGCAACATAATTTGGAAATAAAGATCAAAAAGTTTAATATTTCTGTATAATGTCACAATGGTTGTTTACGTGACTGTAAATAATTAGGCTGAGTTCAAACCAGATCATTGCCAAACTAGGAAAGAACATGTGTCTGATTATCCTCCAACAGTGCAATGTGGCGGTTACGGGCTAGGAGAGTGGGCTTTGAAGTCAGGGCAGTGTGAGTTCAAGTACTGGCTCTGCTCTTTACTGATTAAGTTACCATAGGAGAGTTGTTAAATTTCTCTCTTTTTTAGCCTTGATTATACCAGTACCAGGTTGGTCAGGAAAGTGGAAGCAGATAGTCTTAATAGAATATTTGTTATAGTATAGGGCACACAGCACATACACACAACTTACTTTTGAAAAATAGGGGTAATATGGACGTTTGGTATGGTGATAAACACACTACGGGTCCCAGCTCTGCTTACAGTCCGGCCTGCTACTGATGCAGCCCCCTGGGAGGCGCAGGTGATGGCTCAAGGGGTTGGATATTTGGCACCCACAAGGGACACCTGGAATGTGTTCTTGGATCCTGATTTGACCTTGGCCAAATCCTGGCTACCGTGGGCATTTGGGAAGTTTAAAGCACACAAACAAACAAACAAAATAAACATTTTGTGGAAAAAGGAATTTAAAAATGAATTTACAAAAATAAGTCTGATAATGTTATCTTTGCCTGATTTTTTATCGATGTTAAATTAGAAAGGCATCCAAGTGCTTTTGTAAATGTAAGGCTAGATAAGTAGAAGATGTTAATCAGATTCTTCTGCTTTTGGGGACTAGGAAACTAAAACAAATATTGGCAGCTTGTCCAAAGTAATAATGAGTCAATAGAATAAAATTCTGTGGACTGATTTCACAGACATGGGATAGTTTTGCATGTTAAATAGTTCCCTCCAGTTTTTTTTTTTCTTTTTAAATTACTGCCTTTTATCCTCCTGCTCTCTTCTGTGGAAAGGGAATGATTCTCCAAAAAATATGTCAGGAAGTTCCTGTTTCCATGAGCTTCGTGTACTCTGTCCATTGGCTCTGCAGACCTTTTTGAAAACCACTGCTGTATTGCTTTTATGGCTCCCAAAAGGGCACTGGGCATTCTTCTGTAGGAAAGGCCTCAGAAATTCCATAATCAGTACCATTTTGCAGTCGTTTTTCCTTCCCACTCCATCTTCATCTTAGTTCCCTTCCCTGTGGCATAACCCATGGTTGGCAGGTGATAAGGGAAAGAGCAAACATTTGCTGTGGACCAACTAAGTGATGAGTACTAGTCTAGGCTATTTACTTGAATCAGTGAATCTTATCCTTGCAAAATCCCATGAATAAGCAAAATTGTTAAACCCACTTTACAGATGGAACAGAAGAAATTCAGTATGTCAGTCTAAGGTCATAGTCACTGAAGGCCCAAATGAAGCGACCCCAGATCTCCAAACAGCAGTAATTAACAAATTGCCCCCATTTTTCTACTCCTGTTGCAAAACACTTCATCCCAAATCTATTACAGACCAATATTTTGTTGCAGCTGCTCAGGATTTGTAAATGTATTGCTTCTTAGATAAGATTCACCAAAAGCTTCTACATTTTCCCATTTTTAATATAAACATTGCACCATATGGAAGTGTTTGCTTGTACAGTCCAGCAGTGGAGGGATGAGGGGAGGAGTAAAATCCTAATCGAAATGATCTCAGCCAGGTCTGTGATGATGTAAGGGGAGGGAAGACATATTTAACATGAAGATGATTTTCTTGCTGTTACCCACAGCACCAGTGGACCGTTAGAGGTTTGCAATCATCTGCCACATTCTAGAGAAGTTTATGAAGATTTCGCTTTTGCTCATGGGAGAGTAATAAAATACACATAAGGATTTCAGTATGGAATTTGGTGAAGGAAAGCTGGAGCGTCAGACCTGGACAAATGGTGAGTTTTCATCTGTTGTCCTGATGGATGCCATCAGTTGGCCGTCCCTCAGACCCTTTGTCTGCCTCCGCACAACCTTACTGTATTCTGCCTTGGTCATCTGTATTTTTAGTTCTTCGAAGAAAGGACTTAAACATCAGCAGAAGAACCTCTTTACCCCATGTGGTTTCTAGCCTATTTCTGCCTGTGTCATCTTCTGAATTTCTCAGGTAGGCCTTCCTCCTCCTTTTTCTGTACCACCCCTTCTAGATTTCAGACTTTAGCCTTCATCAGGACCAGTCAAGGACTTTTGTGTTGGGTGTTCCTCTTGCCATCCTCATCCTGTCCATCTTTCCTGCTGCCTTCAGACTCTGTCTTCCAAAACCAAAATGGATCCATTTCACTCCTTTGCCTAGACTATTCAGATCAATAGTGTTAATTTATGGGGCACAGAAGGTCATCCAGGACCCTGGTTCTCCCTCTTTTTCTTGCTTTAACTCCTGCTGGTTTGGCGCATGTGTCTATTATGTGGCCACACTGAACCCAAGTGGAACCTTGTTGTTTGGTCCCTGAACATCTATGTGCATGTTAGCCTTGTTCCCTGCCCCCATCTTTTAAAGAAGCTCCCTGTTTTCTCTTGGAGACCAGAATAAAATTGCTCCCTAATCAGCCTTTCATGACCTGCCTGGACTGGCCATTTCCTTCTTTTGCTCTCATATCTCTCTATTGTAGTGTTTCATATTGTATGATAAATGTATACATGTGCATGGATTGTGGGTGTGGCTTGTGTGTGTGAACACACTAGAATATTTATTGTTTAAAAATAGCATTGAGTTCTGAAATATTCAACATATTCATTTTATGAGATAACAAGGCATATTGTATCCATATTTATATTCCTTGGCAGAAGGAAAAGAGATAAAGATGAGGAAGGGATGAGAAGAGAATGAGGTATGAGAAAATGATTCATATCCAAGAGTGTCCATATCCCTATTGCTTTACTCCTCCTCCACTGGGGTCTGGGACCCTGAATTACCAAGAGATTCTGAGAAATCCCAGCTCAGGTCTTCTGACCTCAGGCAGGGTGTCTACAGACTTTCTAGTCTTATGCAGTGGACTTTGCTCAGACCAAACTACCATCTCGAGCACATTGGCCCTCACAAATTGTAGGCGGTCATATTGTTTGTGGTTAAGAGCTTAATATTTATTCCCAGAAGGATTAATTAGCCGTCTGTCCCATGAAAAACAAGAGTTCAGCTTCATGATCACATGAGGGGAGGATCCAAGGGTGGATCCTTTTTTATGAGATCTAAACACCAGTTTGATGAGACTCCAGTCCATTTGAGAAAGACGTGTAAGAATCAGTGTAACCATCTCGGCCCCCATGAGCCCTTACATATTGATCACCAATGGGCCCCATGGGCAGGAGACAGGCTGGCAGCCCATGAGCCTGCTTGCCATAGCCTCTCCCTTAGCCTGGGTTGGTCACCCTACAGAGCAGCTGTGCCTCATTCAGGCAAGACAGGCAGGAAATGGGAAAGAGGAATGAACAGAATCCTCTTTGAAAGAATCTAAAATGGTGTCTACCACAAGCTGCAGTAAAGGTTCATTATAGTTTTTAGTTCATACTCTTTGACCAAAAAATTGAGAGGAAGATTGGGGACAAGGGGACGTTGCCACTGGAGTATGTGTGTGTGTATAGCTGGAGAAGAAGCTTCGAGGGCAACAAGTAAAGTTTGCTATTCTTGGTAATTTTTTGAGTTATCAGAGTTTATATTAAGTGTTCTCTTAAAATCATTTTAAACACATTTGACATGCCCCTACTTATAATAATATGCATGGAAAAATTGGGACTGACTTAACAATGATAGACTGAGGATGGCCACAGTTCCCTGACCCCTCCCACTGATAAAACCCCTTGTCTCAGATCTGAACAAAGTTTGTGGTAGTTTGGCTAACAGAATCTTGCAGAATTGATGCTATGCTAGATTTACCCAGAATATGCCATTTAAATAACAGAACTAGTGTTTTGATGAGGTTTCTTCCGGTTTTCTTTCATTTATGCATAGCCTAGAGATTTATTTTCTTCTCATCTTAAAACATATTTGTAAGATTTATGGTATGTTTTACTTAAGATGGGTATGTAAGTTTCTGCCTTACTGTAAACCTCAAATATAATTTCAGTGGTTACTTTGTTGTGTAGCTATATTGGCATTTGTAACCATTTTCATATTACAAATTAAATTGCTTGTAGATTTGCCATTATAATGATGCTGCGTTGACTGTGTTATGCCTGAACTTTGTGTGCGTAGAGTAGCACCAGACGCTGAGAAGTTGGCAGAGAGGTGCTTCCCTTAAAGAGGAACCTGGCTGTACCAACAGCTCATTTTCAGACTCCTACCCTCCAGAGCTCTGAGAGAATAAATTTCTATTGTTTGAAGCCACTGAGTGGAAGTGATTTATCAAGAAAGCCTGGGAAATGACTGCACTTTTAAAAAGATATGTGAAGAACCTGCTGTCTGACAAGGCATCTCAAGGCTGCCCATCATCACAACTCACCACAACTCAAAAAAAGACACTGACCACAAAACACCCCCAGAGACCACCATCAATGGAGTTCTGCTCTCTCCCCCTAGGATGCTCTTGAGATACTGTGGTTGTTATTTTAGTCCACTTATTTTGGTGCAGTTCTATACAGGAATAGGCAACTAATAAATTTTAAAACTAATTTCCACTTCTTTTATTATTTTGAAAGAGGATGGGAGGGAGATCTTGCATCTGCTGGGTCACTCCTCAAACACCTTCAGTAGCCCAGGCTGAGCCCAGCTGAGTCCAAAGCCAGAGGCCAAGAACTAAATTTGGATCTCCTGTAAGGGTGCCAGGGACTTAACTCCTTGAGCCATCACCTGCTGCTTCCCAAAATGTGCCTTATCAGGAGGCTAGATCAGATGCGGAGGAGGGTCTCAAACCTACTCCATTATAGACTTAACTGCTGCTTCAAACACCTGTCATAACACAATTTCTAGTGCAACCAATCCATGTTACATGTTGAAAATGTAGACATCAGATCAGAAAGTGACTTGTTATCTATTATCTAGGAATGAATTCATTTGAACTCCAAATTCATTGAAGAATTTGTCTTAAGACAATGAGATCTTTTGACTTTTCTTAATGGAATGAGGGGATGGAGAGTTTATTCCATAGAGTGGAAGGACTGTCCTGAGCCACTTGAGACAGTCCAGAGGGTATAAGGCAGTAACTGTGATGTTCTTTGCTTAGTTCTTTCAGTT